ACGTGGTGCGAGCATTTTGATTTTTAAATGGCTATTTACTGTGCCGCAAACTGTCAACTGTCAATTGATTTACATGTCATTACCAACACATATGTTTGTCTACCTTTTGTGTACATATTTAAGTAACTTTAAAAAGTGATATACATAGTTCATTTATTATAAATAGTCTGTTTAGATAGCGATTCGTAATTTTTTTCCATGTTAACTGACTGATTGTAAAGCATGTATGTATATGGTAGCTGAGAGGGAGGAAGCCGTTGACGGAGAGATGGAAAACTATCCATCAACTGTATTTTCAAGGTTCCTCACCACTGCAATGTTTCTTAAAGAAACGTGGCTGCCACTATGGTAAAAGCAGACCCAAACTACTACAGAAAAGTGATTATACACATAGGTAGCAGAGCGATGATAATACTTGCCTTGAAATCACTGAGATACCAATTGAGTTACTTAATGATTAGACCAATTTGAGCGCTAGGTCACAGCGTAATCGCCAGAAATTGTAAGACAGAAGAGCACAAAATGAAAGCGAATTTCATTAACAGTGGAATGGAAAAAATTCCGAGCACCACTGCCCTTGCGATTAACTACTGTATTTTTAAGATCTGGCCAACTACTTGACAAATACTCTTGCATGGTTACAAACTACTTTTTAGCCGAGCTCACTGTTCAGGCGGTAAAATTTACGATTTTATCAGGTGTCAGTTGTGGAAGTTTGCTTGAAAGACTACGATGTACAAATTCAATAACTTATAACTTGTTGACCGCCTTTGAGTGATTAAGACTGAAATATCTTGCATTTCATTCATTCAGACAACCAGATGAAATGCCTAAACAGATTTGTGACTGGTTCAAAGAGCCCTGGTGATACAGGAAATCCAAGAAAGTAATAGTGCTGATTTTCTTCCGCCACCACTGTATTTCAGAGCATGCGCACACCGACTGGATTCGGTAGAGGCCGCTCCTAGCTAAGAAACGAGCGGCTAGTCAGTTGTCTCCGAGCTCCTGGGCTTTTTTGGGTCGGGAAGATCGGTCTTGAATCGGTCTTTCGAAAAATTTAATTTAATTGATTGAGAAATACTGTTTTCATAACCTAAAAAGGAGCTAACTGAGGATCTTTTACTTTTGGCAAGCATCGCTCGGCTTTTATTTCAAGATCTTCATGCAAAAAGCTCTGATCTTTTAATATTATTCGGGAGCCAAAGTACCTCTTAGACAAAACATCAACTGAAATGTATTGAATCCACGTTTATAAGATGTTTATAGGTTAGTGTGGGGTTATATAATGTGAAAACGAAGATTGTCATCAGAGAGTATAAATCTGAAAAAAAAGTATTGTCTATGCGCTGGATTTGAGCAGATCAAGTTCTTGAAGAGGATCGAAGAATTCCAAATTTTGGATGATTTTGGGTAAATTTTCATGTTTTGCATTTTTTACTTTCCACTTTCATTACAAATACAACCTTATGAAGTTGTCTCAACGAAGGTAATATAAATATTAATACCATTGCAATTGCAGCGATAGTTACTCCATCACAAATGCAAACAACACCAAAAAAAAAAAAAGCTGACAAAAAACAAACAAAATCGCGCTTTCCATCCATTCTTCAGCCATTTTGCACAATGTAAAATCTCTCAATTTTTCATGACAACAATCATCAATAAAGTGCACAGAAGATCCGCTCTTAAATGGCTGCTATGGCTGGTGGCAACGGTATGAAGACGAAATCTGTTGCGTGCGCTGCATTGTTTGGACATTTGAAAAATAGACTGCCTGAACATTAACTCAATCCCCCGTTGTCGACTACTACGTTTTTCATGTTTGCCATTATTCTTGCACTTCCATTCATACCCTACTCCTCCTACCTTCCTCTCCTCTTCTCACCAATTTGTTAGCTACAGTTGTCGGCATGTAAAAGGAGGTTTGTTTTTAGAGCGGTGCCGGCACCTCCCACCTACTCCATCTTTCAGCTGTTGTGCCCTGACGACCAGCAAAAGGAAAGGTAAATGTAGAGTGGAGACAGCAAAAAAATAGGCCAATTCATGCATTCACATGCGTTTGTGTGCTATGAGTGTTAACAAGTGTATGCGGCTGCCTCACCTAGGCACGAATCGAACCTAGATTATGTGGCCTATTAGTCAGCCTACACTATTTCGCACTTACATTACTGTTTATATATGTTTGTATGTTCTGTATGCATGAGCTATAAGCACTCTTTTGTGCTTTGTTTATGAAGTTTTTGCTTGAATTTTCAAGTAATTTGTATTTTGTTGAATTGACAGTAGGTGTACTTTCACTTTATAGTTTGCAAAAATAGAAACCTCAATTTTGATCAATTACATTTGACTTTCGAAAACAAATATATGAGAAAATAAATTTGTGAGTTATTATTTAGTAAATTACAAAATAATGCGTAATAATGCGAAAGTAAAACTAATTTCAATTTTTTGTAATAGAGAAAGAGTAGAAAATACTATTCATCAGCAAAAAAATCTACCCAATTATTGTCTCAAATAATCTATTATTCGCAGTTTTATACTCGACCTAAAAGCCTTAAGGGGTTAAATACAGTTAGAAAGTCAGAAAAAAGCGAAATTTCCAGATTTTTTTCTGAGAAAACTTTTAAATTTATTGATCCAAAAATTTGTACATATATTAATATGGTTTTTAACTGTATTTTACGACTATGTATTAGTAAAAAAAATTATTTGGAAAGGAACTACGGCTGATCTCCTGCAGCTTCTCTCAAAAAAGACGTTTTCGGGGGACCACTATATCTCTGAATTGGACCGTCTAATATAGGTATATCTAAAATGATTTTTTTTTTTGACAAAATGGCGTATTCTCAACAAAAATAAAATAATATTTGACCAAAATTTCGGCCTTAAATTATTTATAAAAAAATTATTATCAGTGAATATTAATCTTCAATTCATACTAAAACATATATTCAAAAAGCTCGTGCTACAATTTGAGACTACCCGACTTAGCCGTTTTCGAGTAAATTTGGTCACCGGCTTTGAAACACCATTTTGGAAAAACGCTTTTAAAGTTTGAAATGCACTTCCAAGCTTTCTGAAACACTCTTAAATTAAAATAAATAATTTAATTTTGGAAAATTCTAACCATACATAACCCTTTAAGAGGAACACCTAATGTGACACCCTAAAAGAACGTAAATTTTTGCGTATTTTTAAAAACGGTTATATCGTAAAGACAAAATTGGCAAGATGGTGGTTTTATTGAAAATTGTTGAATTTTACCTCAAACTTTAACCAAAAACTTGCACAGATCAAAAAACCAATAGCTTATTGTTTAAAGAATTATATATATACAATAGGCAAAAATAGCTGAACTGTTCAACTTGAAATTTTCACATGACTTTCTGAGATAAATTTGCCAAGTAGTGACTGTAAGTAGAAGGTTATAAAGTATAACTACCTTCCTTGCATCTTATAGCTACGATCGCAGGTATTTTTGATAATAACTTTGACAGATTAAGTTACTCTGAAGTGTAACATTTTTCATAAAAGCTCACTTTTTGGGAATCCCATATTTCAAAGTTTGATTAGTCTCTCGATCATTACCTCTATTTAGCTACAGTAATAATCAATATTTTTAGTTTTTGAATTCATCAAGCAGAAAAATCTTTCTAACACCTTTTGCAGTAGTCCTCCTTCAGAGTGGATCAAGGGAATCCAAAATGTTTCAAAAGGAATCGCCGTGTACATTAAATTCTGCAAATATTTCCAGGTTGTCTACTTAAAAAAAACACAGAAGCTTCAAATTTAATAGGTAATGTTTATTAACATTCGAAAGAACATTCTTTGGCATTTATTCTTTAAAGATTATAACCTTCAAATGTTGGCCGCGGCTACGGCCTTGCTCAGTACGCCGATTATGATGGCCATAAGTTCAACAAAACTCTCGAAATACATTAGTTATAGAGCGTGCATTTTCGTAATAAAGTTGAGAAATTTGTAAACGTTGTTCATGCGTAAGTCTTTCTTGGATCATCCATTATATGCAGTGATACATTCTGGGAATACTTTGGCCTTGTAATTCTCAACTAATTAGCAATTTAGTTCATGTTCTATAGCATAATATGATTTCAATTGACAGATGAAATATCACAGATTTATTCAACGGTATCAGTTTATAATTAAATACATATATACATATA